ATACCAACACATTGCTTAACAATGACAATTGTTAGGTGCCACAAATTTTCTATATTTCAAAATACATATACATATCTCAGTTAAGGAAAAAAGAAATGAAAGAAAGCATAAATCACTTTATTTTAATATTGACATTTATAGTAGAATATTGTCACAGGACAACATAAAATAAAATGCTTTTTATAATATTAATCCTATTGCCTACATAATCATATACATAAACATAAGAACCCAAACATATTATATGAAGAAATTTTATCATATTTCTCAACTATATTTGTACAAAAATGCATATGATGAGTCTGTAAATGTCTATTTATGGGACTCATCTCCACTAACTTCAGCAATATCTGCAGCAAAAGTTGGGAGTTCCAGGATGAAATAGATAACCTTTCTAGTTCCTTTCTCTCTCTCTCTTTACACACACACACACACACACACACACACACACACACACACACACACACACACACACACAGCGCCACACACACACACACACACACACACACACACACACACAAATTTATAAGAAATGCCTATTCCTAAGTAATTCACCACTGTTTAATTCAACTGTCAAGTGTTACATTACTAAATATAATGGAAAAAGCTTAAAGAGTGATGCAATGTTATCTTTACAGGCTTTGTTTTCTTGATGCCATGCTAAATTCTAAAACATCAGTATTGTTTATTGATTTATTCTCAGAGCAAATGCAATGCACAGTTTATATAAACTGATGGATTTACCATTCATGGTCTAACAAAGATGTTGTATTGGAGAATAATTCCTAGATCACACTGAAAACTGAGAATAAAACTCATATTAGACTTTGCCTGAAGTAGAGAAGCAGACACCTTCATCTTTATGTCAATTTCAAGAATTATTGCCTCTTGGTCTAGTTTGAATAGAATGATATTTTCATTTTCTTTGGCATTGCTAGATTTGAAAGAATTCAGAAACCATTAGCTTTTTGTCAGGAAAGAAAAGATTAAATATGCTTCCACAAAGGTCAATTACTTCTCTTAATAACAAAAGGGAGGCAGTGTTATGGGAATATAATTTATGAAAATTACATATGCTCCATTTTTCAATAAAAATACATTTAAATTGTTGTAATCTACCCTTTCAGGTTTTATTTTTTGTATGTACAACATCAATGTCCCATTGGTGACTTTGTTAAAATTCCAACCTTCAGAATTTGAACTTCAATATTAGAATTATAATTAATACAATTAAATTATAATTAATCAAAATGGTCACTTTTATCAAACATCCTATATTTTAAATTTTTAAACTTATTTTATGTGTATGGGTTCTTGTCTGAATGCATGTCTATTGGCTACTTGAAATCCTAGCAGCTGTGGAGACTAGACAAGAATATCAGATACACTGCACTGGATTTATAGGAGTTACAGATGGTTCTAACCTGCCATGTGGATGCCAGAAATTAAACCCAGGTCCTCTAGAAGCACAAGTGCTCTTGACCATTGAGAAGTCTTTCCGGTCTAACCAAGTCATACATTCTTAAAGGATATCCCCATTGTATAATTTACCTAAAATTTTCTATTGGTTGCCCTGTGAAACCAGCTCTCTTATCCCATCCAGGTGCCAGATCCTGCCCCTAATATGACTTGGGTCTATTTAGAGTTAGTGATGGAAACATCATTTGTAAATTCATTTCTATTTGCTAAGCTAATCACAGCAAACAAACTTGACAGAACTAATTACATAATCTGAAAAGGAAACACCTGGATAACAGAACAAGAGCAGGGGAACACATGAAATTTATTCAAACTATTGTAGTGTTCACTCTGTATTCACAGTGTCTATGAACTGTAAGCCAGGGAAAAATAAAAAGACCCATAGCTCCTGCCTTCACCCATTTTCATCCTTTGCTTAGAAGATGTTGGAAAATAATAATGAAATGACTGACTATCTAGTTATTCGAGCATTGGACTGAACCAAGCCCTCTGAACGTGGGTGCCAGTTAGGAGGCCTGAGCAGTCTACAGGATCTCTGACAGTGGAACCAGTATTTATCCCTAGTGCATAAATGGACTTTGGGACCCCATTTCCCATGGAGGCATGCTATTGCAACTCAGATACATGAAAGAGGGCCTAGACCCTCCTCCAAATGATGTGACAGACTTTAATGATCCCCCATGGAAGGCCTCAAACCCCCTAAGGAGTTTATGAGGAGTGGGGTGTGGGAGTCAGTGGAGGGCATGGGAGGATGGGAGGGATAGGAAACTTTTTTTGATATGTATAATAAGATTGTTTCTAAATTAGATAATTAAAAAGAAAAAAAGCTATTCCCTTTACAATATTTTATCTTGGTATAGTATACAAATAGCCCAGGGTTATATTTTTTTCTCATAAGAAAAAATACTGAGTTTCATTTGCACTAAATTTTAAAGAGTGATTCATTAGAATACTTTAATATAAGTTTTTATGGAACTCTGATTCCTATTTAGTTCTTAGTGTTTCATGTGACTCAGCCTTAATGTTAGCAGTGCAAAATCTGAAGAATGAAAGGTCCAGATGTGCCAGGTCATGGAATATCTATATTCATTATAATTGACAGAGAGAAAGTCAGTACTGAAGACCAATATTCATTTGAAACATATTATTTTATATTTTCACATACAACTACAGCTCCCTTTGAAAGTTACATTCGTGCCCTTAATATGGATTAGGTTGCCCTGGATCCTAACGTCCTTTGACATACTTGCTGTATTTCCATTGTTGGAAATATATAGATTTATGTTATTTCTCTGCCTGAAAATATCCACTATCTCTCCTGCCTCAAGTTACACAATCATCAATGTTCTTAAATTACAATTAAGAATTAAGTTTATTTCCTATGTGTCTCTATCTGTTTGGATGTTTACATCTATAAGTTTATTGTAACTTTGTGAGTTGGAATAGTGATTTGTGTGCTCTTAATAAATCAGTGGGCTTTATCCATGACCTAATATATAATACTGAAGCTCAGTAAATTAATAAATACAATGAGACCAAAGTAATGTTGAGAGGACCCTAGACACTGAATCTAACATAATCAATGAAATCTACTTTATGTTACTTTTAAAACATCAGCAGACAAATCCATGACACCATCTCCACCAGACTACTTAATACATTCTATTGCTTAAATCAGTTTATTTTTTCTTATTCTAGTATTCTTAATAAGATTTATAATTGTGAAATGCAAGAGGAGGCTTTGGTGGAATATTTCTCAGACAATGTAGAGTTTATAATATTTCCCCAAAGCCAAAAGGTTCTGAAAGTAAAGAATTCCAGAGTTGAATTTCACAGTGAATTAAAAATTAACAGATATAAACAGTATAAATTAAGCTGAGTTGGTCTTGATGACCTCATATATACATTTTACAAAAAGAATACAATTAATTTTCAAGGATCTGTTACTGGGTTCATAATATAGAAATTGTGTGTTGTGCTGGCTACTTTATTGGAACACTGCTATAAAACAATAAATTCATGAATGATCTATGAGGAATTAACATTAACGTTGTAAATCACTTACTCCATAATCAAAGAACACACATCAATTTCTCATTTAAGCTAAGTTCTTAAACACTGCTGAATCTTATTGTGACATAGTGACTAGGAAGTCTGAATAATGTAGAAGAAAAACCTGGGACATTGATGAAGAGATGCTATCAAACCTGGCCTTAATAATAATCAGTCGTGTAAAATTGGCCACATTTCCGTTGTTATTTCCTTAACTTCAGTGTTTCCAAAGGGTTCTGGGAAACTTAAATGAGCTGATGTAGGAGATAAAGTTTGTTACTTTTAACAAAGTAATTGCAGTGACAAACTATAGTTGTTTTTGCTTTTACAGCTCTAATTGCTATTAAAGCTTATTTTTTCCCTTTTTGGTTTTATCCCTAGAAGGGAATGAAAGAAAAACATGGGTTTTCAGATTTAAAGGCTCAAAACCATCACATTATGATATGAGAGAACTAAACACACTTCAAAATATATTCCTAACTAATGAGATCGTAGCTATTTCTTTAAAGTTAATAAAGAAATTTCTAAAAGAACCACATAAATAGATGGTTGATTTGCTTTAGTTAATTACTGTATTAGTTACTTTTGTGTGGCTGTGTCTAAATGTCTGACAAGAGCCTCTGAAGGTGGTTTGGCTTTGGCAGCATACCATGAAGGGATGCAATCCACTAAGGCATGGGGTACGCATCATCACAAGCAAGGCAGCAGGTTATCTTATTTCCTGCTCTCAGGAAGGAATGGCAGATAGTAAAGGGTTCGGTCTATAAAATCTCCAGTCACATGCAGAATGGCATATTCCTTCGAGATGGCTCTATCTCCTAAAGATTCCAGAACCTTCTTGAACAAAGCTAATGGATAGGGACCAAACACTGCTAAGCACTGAGCAGAACTTCTGAAATCCAGCTGTAGAGAGGGAGAAGTGATGAGCAAAGGGGTCAATCATGCTGGGAAAACGCACATAAACAACTGACCTAAGCAACTGGGAACACACTCACTTCCACCTGACCTCTGCGGAACCTGCAAGAGACCGGAAGCCTCCTTAATGTGGCTGTCATTTGGGGACCTTGGGCAATTTGTGGGGATGCTGGCAGTGGAACCAATATTTATCCCTAGTGCACAAGTATGCTTTGAGAGCCCATTACCTATGGAGTGATACTCTCTCAGCCTAGATACATGGGGGAGGGCCTTGACCCTGCCCCAAATGATGTGAGAGTCTTTGATGATCCCCCATGGGAGATCTTACCCTCCCTGAGGAGTGGATGGGGATCTGAGGGGGAGATGGTGGGGGGAATTGAAGGATAGAAGGAAGGAGGAACTGGGATTGGTATTTAAAATACGTTTTTTAAAAATTTAAATAAAAATTAATTTAAAAAATGAACATGAGCCTACTGAATCACAACCCATTCAACCCACAGCACGGAATAACAGGCATTATAAATTTCGTACTGAATAAATAGAGCTGCCCTCACCTGGGAAGTGTAGGAATGCCCGTCGGAACCACAAACAGGGCTGGCATAGGCCACAGGGCATGGCTTACAGGTGGATGACAGGAGACCTCTCCACTGCTTATGGCTTCCTCCTACTTCTTTCATACTGTTCGCAAATAAAGACATGAAACAAAAAAAAGAAAAGAAAACAACCATACTTAGTGATTTGATTTTCAGAACTATGTTTATATGACACTGCCTTTTCAGGCCTGTCATGATGATGTTTGATAGTTGAGTTACAGTCTCTTTCACCACACATTTATCTCTGCAATCTGCCCTTCATGATCTATTTACTTTTTTAGGCTTCTACTTTGAGGTTGTACTTCTTAAATGTTTTGTGTTAGTCACAGAGTGTGGTGATATTTTTGTGCATATTCTTTAGTTTATAGACATGAAATAGGATCTTGATATCCCAGAATAAACACTTGGTAAAAATACAGAACTCAGATTTCTGGAACCTTCTTTAAGCTTGTATTCTCTTAGGAATGGAGAAAAGAGACACCCGATTTAATGGCTGCATAAAAAAAGAGGGAGCTTACTTTTACAAGAAACAGCTATAAAGTACCAGGAATTTATAGCGTCTAGCAGTGTTTAAAAAGCCAAATTACTAGGTTTATTGACATCTCCCATCCTTGATTGCTGTGAAGTGTCTCAAAATGGACTCCTTAGACTTTGATCTAAAATAACTCTAGAAAATCCATTCCCTTTTGCTAAGCATCACACAGAATCTTTCCTTTTGTTCGCACTACTCAACTCATTGCTTATTTGTGGGAACAGTTCACACAGAAACAGAGGACTAAGAAAAGAGTAAGAAAATGAGTGGGAATCTACACAAAGACACTTAGTATTTGACATCAATATGTGTTCATTGTCACTTTCTGTGCAGAGAATAATCTGATGTCTATATGATAACAAGACAAAATGTTGAGAATCACCATGCACTCCTTTTCATGATTTTATATAATTTTCCATAATTTTATTCCCTGAAAGCTTTGTATTGGGAAAACTAGCTTACAAAGTAGGGTACCTAGACAATACTAAAAATTACACCATAAAGAATCCTATCATAGGAGAAGACAATTGAGCTTTATATTGGATTTAGACATTAAAATCTCATATCTACCTATCATCCATAATCTATCTATCTAACATCCATCTATCTATCATCTACCTATCTATCTTCTACCTCATCAATCCTTGTCTTTTTCTCCCTTCTCCCTTCCTTCCTCTTTGATTTTACCCCTCCAAATCCTCCATGCCTCCCATTTCTTCTTCCTTTCTTCAGATTGTCTAATGTATACAAGAATTTCAAATATGCTATTTTCATGTCTCATATATAAATTATATGTAATGACCACATTATAAACTTACTTGACTACAGAATTCACCATAAAATACATTGGAGCAAAGTATTAGTATCAGATAAATATCCTAAATATGAATCAAAATAATGTCTGGAAACCCTAGCATGCTGTTCTAATCCTCATTGCTGATAAAAGTTGAGTAAGGTTTCCATATCAGGAGTACTTAATGCAGCTGCAAAGGATGTACAGAATTCAGACTCTGTATATTTCTATTATCAAAAAGTGTTTCATGTTTTTTCAATTTTATTTAGTAGCTATGTAAATCATGGAACATAGCTTTGACTTGTGTGTTTGTGTATTACTCTGTGAAGGTACATCTGTGTGTATGTATGTCTGCATGTGTGTATGTTTGTGTGCATTATGTTTGTATGTGTGCCTGTATACTAACCTGTGAAGGTGTGTCTGTGTGTACATATTTAGCTGTTAAGGTGCATTTGTGTTTGTAATTGTGTGGATGTGTGTGTTCACCTGTGAAGGTGTGTGTGTGGTGTGTGTGTGTGTGTGTGTGTGTGTGTGTGTGTGTGTATGAGATTGTGTGTATGTGTGTGTGCATCTGTTCACCAGTAAAGGTGCATCTGGAGGTCAGAGGTTGGCATTAATAAGGTTTCCTCTTTACAGTCCTTTGAGACAGAATTTCTCCCTGAATCTTTATCTTACAGTACCTGAAAACCAAGCCCTGGGAATCCATCTGTTTACAGCATCAAGTCCTGGGGCCACAGCCACATGAAAGCATATCTGGATTTTATGTAAGCTCTTTCATTCCAAAATCAGGTTCTGATGTTTGTGCAGCAGTTAACTCACTGTGTTTTCTCAGAAAATTGAAATAAAGTTCTGAAACTTGTAACTCTGTGTTTTTTCAGCATCAGACATACAGTTTACAGTGTTTCCAATGGAGATATTCAGTTCAAAGGAAAATGAGTTGAATAGAGGCAACAATAATGGACATTTACAGGCCTTAACATTAGTATTTTATGTAACACACACACACACACACACACACACACACACACGAATGGAGTTTTGTTGTTGTTGTTGTTGTTTGATTTTTAATTATACCTGAAGGCACTAGTTTAGGAAGAATGTGTGTTTCTGAGAGAAGTGAGGTCATGGTACTTAGTGCACAGGCCAACAGTGACACATTGATTTGATTGAGAAATGGCAAGCTGGCTCTTGCTGTCAGGATGGTCTCCTGGCAACAATAGTCATAGCAATGACAAGTGAAGCAGTCAGTCTTGAGAAAACAGTAGGGGACACATTAGACTGAATACTCAGGGTAAGAAGGACCTTTAATGTCAGAAGGTAAATCTAAACTTGATATCCTCTCTCTCTCTCTCTCTCTCTCTCTCTCTCTCTCTCTCTCTCCCTCTCTCCCCCTCCCTCTCCCTCCTTTTTTTTTTTTGTGTTTTTGCTTGCATTTGCCATCCCATGTCCCATGTCCTATATATGGAGATTAAGAGACAAATATGGGAGTCAATTTTCTTCTTGATGATGTTAGTTCTGGGGGTGTAGAACTCTGGTCATTAGAACTGATGGATGCCCACTGAGCTGCCTCTCCATTCCTCAACTTTTTTTTGAGGATATTACTTCAGCTTTAGTATCACTGATATTACTCTAACATACTACCATTGGTGACAAAAAATTAGGATGAGCAAAGACTCTAAAAATATTTAAAAAGTAAAAAAATATATTTGGTAAAAGTGGTTTTCCAACAGCAACTTTGAAATGTCTACAGTTAAAGTTAGTAAATTTCAAACAAATATTTGAAGTTTTAAGACTTGATTTATTTTCAAATGGAAGTCTCTTTCTGCAGGAATACATCCTTTCCCAGTAGAGCAAAATGCTGTGTTCATGCCTTCAGGGAAATAAAGAGTCCAATGTTAATACATGACATCACAGTTTCTTTCCTTTCATATTTTTTCATTCTAAATCTCACCACACAAAGCAATAAGTGGGTTCCATAACAATATCAGCATTATTATGTGTCTAGTTGCTGCAAAATAAAAAAGACAAGGGGGAATTTTAGTATGGTAATAACTCTTCTCACATGTAGTCTGCACACACAGTTAAGTGAGACCAACTTGTTGGTTGTCTTTTACACTTCAGTTTCTTTTGTTCCTCTGCTGTTTAGTAAAAGGTATCAAGGAGAGTCTCCTATGAAAACTCAATAATCTTATTTCTCTAATAATGATGACATTCCTCATAGTTGCTTCTATAGACACAGTCATAGGTTATTTAGCTTTATGTTAGCTAAGCATGCTATGCATTTTACACTATACATTCAACCACTCTAGAAACAGGATAAAAAAAGTTTCCAACATGATTTACACTGAAAGAAAAGACCTCATTTCAAATTGATTTGCTTCATATTTGGTTACACAATTAATCATTTGTAAACAATATGAGAGGCTATGATTTTAATACAATTATTTACATGATACTCCATTAAAAAATAATGGCATGCACTATCTATGTACTATTTTTCTGGAATCTGATGTGTTTCCCACTAAAATGAATATAGCTTTGAGGAGTTAATATGACATGGAATGGACCTGAATATTGTTGTAGATGTTCTAATTAGAAATATAGCCATCTGAAGGTGGCCAGTGACAGACATGGAATGGCAATTAATAAACATAGGGAGATTAAATATGTTCACATTAAAGAGAAATAATTTGGTTTCAAAAAGTTACCAAGAAACAGGTAACAATTTGTATTAGTGTCAATGAAAACTGTAAACTGTAAAAATTATCACCAGAGAATGTAGTACAAGTTACTACAAATGAAAAATATTTTCTATGTCCTACATTCTTGAATCAGAATTCACCGCTTAGGAATTCTCAGTTCTGAAGAAGTACAAATGCAATCACCAGGTTATATAAGAGATATTGGAATTAAAAGAAGAAGCTATTGTAACTGATTTTTAATTTCACAATCACATTTTCTTCTTTATCTATGTGCCAATAGTATTTTTACTCTTACTGATAGTGAATGCAGGACAGGAACATGATCTTAAACATCAGAATTAAAATGGGTGTTTTATTCTGTGAATTCTCTGGCAAGGGCAGGTTGATATATTACTTGCCCGTTCAATAGATACAACAAACATTTTATTTCCCTTAGAAAGTGTATTTTTATCATTCTTCCAAAATAAAGAAGCATTGTTTCAAAAGGTAATCCTATCAAGCAACATCTTTAGAAAGCAAGGCTGCTGTTTTGACTTTATGTCAAGGATCTTGTAAGAGAGAATATGACATTACAGGCTACCATATTGTGAAATAATAGATGAAAAATTAGGTAAAACTTGGACAGCCTCATATGAAACATTTTGCAACTGCAGAATCTATTATTTGCATGATCTCTGTATTTTGTATATCAGTAATCTGAATTCCACAAAACACTAATTTTAACAAAATGGTTACTTTTTGAAAAAAATGCCTAATGAGCTTGCTATAAGACAACAAATATATGATAAATAAGTGAAATATATATGATAAATTAGTTAATTTATTCTTCAAAACAAAATTTAAAAAACTGAATATTGACTTGCTCAGCTACCTTTCTTATGTGGCCCATACCTATCTGCCAAGCGAAGGTATCACCCACAGTGGTCTAGCCTACCTACATTAGTTATTACTCAAAAATGCAACACAGACCAGCCCACAGGCTAATCTAATAGTAGTATTTCTCTTGATTGAAAGTCCATCTTTTTACTAATACCTAGGTTTGTGTCAAGTTGACAAAT